ACACCACACCACACCACCCCAGCACTCACAACCACACCACACAACCCCAGCACTCACAATCACACCACACCACCCCAGCACACTGACAAACTAACCACACCACACCAGCGCACACAATCACACCACACCACCCCAGCACTCACAACCACACCACCCCAGCACACACAATCACACCACACCACACCACCCCAGCACACTGACAACCACACCACACCACACCACCCCAGCACACTGTCAACCACACCACACCACCCCAGCGCACACAATCACACCACACAGCCTACAATCACACCATAAACTCCCCCGAATACTGCAGGATATAGGGACATACTCCTGAAATTGCAGGTGCAGTTAGGCACCTATAGTACCTGACTCTAAAGAGTCTGTGTGGCCCTGGTTCCAGCCGCAGACCCCGAGATCGACTGAGATGAGCTCTGTCCTCGCTTCCTTAGGAGCTTAAAAACAGCAGCTCATTTTTACTGTGTTGGTGACAGGAAGCAATCAGAGGATGTCACCCAGCTCTCTGTTCACATGCACACGACCTGAGACTCGAAACAGGCAATTTCTCCTGGGCGACAAAGGTCAGGGCTTTTTAATCCTTCTTACGTTTATATAGTGCTTTTCTCCGCAGGCATTCCTGAAGCCCTCAACCCCCCCGTAGGAGACACGCAGCAGGTCAGGGGAGGAGGGAGAAACCTTCCGTGAGAATCGGGAGGGGCGCTTTAGGAAGGTCAGAGAGCTCAAGCCCAGAGTGGGGGATAGGCAGGACACTTGTTACGAGCCATGCCCAGGATCATCAATAACCACCTCGCCTGAAGAACAGCACCTGCAACAGCACAGTGGCCTGGTGCGGAGGGCAGCGCCACCTACAGGGCTACCAGCGCCACTGACAGCAGCCACCTGGCTCTCCTCAGGGGTCTCCCCTCCCAGTACTGCACCAGCCTTGCTCAGCTTCGGAGAGCAGGGTACTCACTGGTCATGCTGTTTTTTTTAAAGAAAAAAAGCTACAGAGAGAGTGCTTCAATTTTATTAATTTTTTAATTTAATTTAAATGAAAGCCCATATGTCTTACAAGTAGGTCTGTATAGTCCTCTTTGGTATTGGCACCAAGGGTAGAAGGTAGAACAGAAGAGCTATACCCTTTCCATTCTATATCCATTACAGAAACAAAAGTTTTACTTCTTAGGATATGTAGGAAAATTGGAAGGGGTGGGGTGATGGGGTCAGAAAAAGAGCATGAGCGATGAAAATAAAAAAACTGGGGAAATTAACTTTTTTCTCAACGACAACACATGTAATTGAATCGTTGGAGATTACAACATACGAAAACATCTGTAGTAAAATAAAATAATAATTATAATAATGATTTTCTTCAGACGATTTTCCGCGAGTCAGATGTTTTCTGTGGGTCCGCTAGCACGTACGTGTGTGTGTGTGTTTTGTGTCAGTAGTTCGGTCTGCTGCTGCAGTTGTGTACATGCGCCACTGGGCGAGTCTCCGCTGTGGCCCAGTCTCTCTCTTTTCTCTCGGAATAGGAGGAGAGAAAGGGTTTGGGAGAAGGCCGCCATTATTGGGAGCTTAAAACCTCTCAAGTCAAAGGCTCGTATCTGAAAAAACAAGACGAGGGGCATGCGATTTCCGGCGACAGAGAACCGATTTGCAAATAACAGAAAAAACACTGAAACACAGGATCCTACTGCATTTTGAGGGACAACAAAGGAAAAATTACTAACTCAAAACACAACGTGGTGAACCCTGACGAAGACACTGAAACTGGCCATTTTTACGCCCCCTCTTCTTTAAAATATGATTTCCTCGTGAAAGAGCTCTTGAGGTGCACAGGGTGGTTTTGTTGTTGCTGCTCTAACGCCCAAGGGGATCGACCAAAGAAAGGAAAACGTCAAAGTTCCCAAAATAAAATGGATAGCCTGTGATCCTGCTCCTTGGACGAAGCGAGCAAAGCGAACCGGGATTTCTGTGGCGAGTCTTCTCCGATTAATCTGTCGGACCGGCGGTCCAGGCGCAGAGCACGGCAGCCAGGAATGCGATGGTATGTACGGCTCGGGGTCTGCTTACAGGAGGGAGGAGAGCCGGAGCAGAGCGAAAATCTGGCTTTTCAGTCGGTGCTGCGTGCGTCCGTGGTTCGGCGAGGGGCTTGGGAAATGAAATTGTGTTAAAAAGTGGTGAAATGGGCGAGATTGAATCGGTCTGCGTGTTCGTTTGCTTGAGCAGGCCAGCGCAGCGAGCGCAGGGCTGGAGGCTTGATGTCTGGCTGATGTTGAAATTATTTTTATTCACGAGAAATTGCTTTTGTTATGTCGCTGATGTCGATTCTGACATATCTGATTCTGTGAGGGAGGACGGGCTCCCTGCATTGAAAACAACCGAACAGCTGCGTGACACTTTTTGCTAATTTAGTGATGTCTATTTTCATACATTTGTAGTCTGTTTGGGCAATTTGAGCTAGAAAATGGGCTGCGTCTCACTCTGCTACGGAAGGGTCTCTTTTCTAACGTAGCTTGCGCTGCGGCAGGGACTGTTTTAAATAAATATTTGCATTCAATGCACACCACTGGATACAAAGGGCATTTGTGGACGTTTTACGAAGTGAGAACGGTACAGAGCAGGCCGTGGGTGCCGGGGCAGGCAGTACGCGTTGAAATCGGATTTATTGTCGTTATTCTGCATGACAAGGGGGGTTGGATGTAATGTGTTTCATCATCTTTACCGAACCCTCTCCCCTCCCCTTCTGCAAGAGTTTCCCTCTAGTAAAAGTAAAAGGGCTGTTTGTTGTTGCCGTTACGGCTTCGGCAGTCCCCAGCGAGTCGGGACCGCTGCGGCGGTCCAAGGCGACACAGCGACACAATGAAAGTGTCTGAAAATGACTTGAAGCCCCCCCGGCGAGGACAGAGGCGAAGGTGGGGGTGTCGCCTCCCGTGCTGAGGCTCAGGAAATGCCCCGCGCGCCGGGGGCGGAGGGCAGGGCGCGAGGCATGGTCCCCAGAAATCCAAGACGCGCTCGCGCTCGACCTTCTTGACCAGAACCGCAGCGCGCGGATTGGGATCCCCGAAAAAAAATGACGCGGGGGGCCGTGGGTCGGCAGGGTCCGAGCAGCCCGGGGCTGGAAACGGGGGAGAAATGGAATCTGCCCGATCGCGCCACAGGCCCGGCGTGTTTGCTTAAGCAGAAAAGTTTCTGGCGTTTCTGAGCTTTGTAACCGAGAAAGGGGAGGGGAATCCGCCCCATGGTTCTGCTTTAAACACGAGTGGCGTTGTTTCGCGGAACGTTGCGAACGCCTGGCTTTCCCGGCGTCTTGTGGCAATACTGTAGCAAGCGGCGCCGCTCGATGGCTACACGTCAGGCTCCTCTGTGGAGCTCGCCTGCTCGGCGACGCAAGAGTGTCACTCGGCGACGCGCGTAAAAGCGGAGACATTGCCCTGTTTTTTATGGGGTGTTATCCGCAGCGTGACCACTCCTCAAAATGTCTAGAGCTGTTATTTACAGTAGGGGACGGTGTTTGGCGTTGTGGCTGCTTGGGCGGACGCTGTTACCCCGAGAGGACACCGGTCGATCGCATGTTCCGGCATGTCGGCCCGGCTCAGACACCGCCGTCCAGCCTGGGTCAGTTTTCCGAGCAAACAGGAACAAGGAGGAAAGAGCGATTCCCGAGAAGCGCTGTTGAAACGTTTCTGCCACGATTGTTTTATCTCGTGGAAAGGGTGTGGGCATGCACACAATCACCGAGGTGTGACCTATAAGCTTCTTGATATACGTTTTACTTCAATCCGGAGATCTGTCACTCCTAATCCAAGTTTGTGCATCGCACAAATTCAAGAAATTAACTCGGGCAAACGGCAAGTGAGCATTCCCCGCGTTTATACAGCGCTGTTCATGCCAGAGGATCCCCAGCAGTTCAGCCAGAGCAGAGGAGCCCCTGGCGTGTGACCTGCACCCCCACTCTCGGAGGTCTGGGGGGGGGGGGTCTGCGAGGGTCACCCCCCCACCCTTACGCACCACGACACGGGGTCTTGAAGGACCAGATAGTCGGGACCTTAGTGTAACACGTTGCCCGCAGGATGGAGCCTGAAGGGAGGGTTAGGATCTGTACGTCTTTAGCATTTCCTCCTGCTGTCAAAGACCTGAGTCTGTGGTTGAGTGAATGACTCCAGAGTCGCACCCGTGTTCGTTGCAGCGCAGGTGGGTCCGGGGCTCTGGCTCGAGGGTCCGGAGGAGGCGTGTGGGTCTCCATCTTGCAGGTAGAAGACGCTGCAGTCCGGCACCCGTAGGACTCGCTGGCAGTCTGACCTAGTTCTGCTTTCCCGTCGGCTTGCGAAGTTGCAGTGTGGAGACAAAGGGCCAATCTCCCAGGTTCCCCGCGCAGGGCGGTTTCCTGAAAGTTTATCCCACAGTGGCAGAGAAGTAGAGGCTTTGTGTTGCGGATGAAGAGATTGTGGGGACGGGCTGTCAGCAGAGACCAGCTGCAGATGATGGCGTGGAAATGGGCAAACATCTTTCTTTAAAAGCTGACACATTTTAGAATTTGCCTCCATCTGCTCCCTAATTGGTCATCAGCAGGATCAATATCGCGGAGAGGCTGCGATCCGGCGGGAGCGGAGGCCGGGGCAGCGGTGCAGGCCGCGGTGTGACTGATGAAGCTGTCCGTGCTCAGCTCAGCACTCTCCGCGGCTCCTGGCACACTCGCGGTCCGATGGAAGCGTGCTGCTCTCGAGGAGGGGAGCAGGCTGGGCTTTGAGTCTGGGTGCTGGCGGTCGGGGGGTTGGAGGGTCGGAGGGAGTCCTGGTGCCGGACGTGTCGCCCGGAGCAGCACTGTTCAGCGGAGCAGCAGACGGGGGCTCTGGGAGTTGTGAGGAAGGGTGATGCTGCCTGTGATCTCTGTCACCAGGGCCTTGTCATTTCTCATGGACACCCGAGCTGGGCGCACGGCTCAGGCGCCTGAGCTGCTGAGGGCTTAACATTGGCAACAGAAGATCAGGATTGATATCCATAATTATTTTACATCTAACTAATGTCCCATCAGAGCCATCCCTGGAGTGTGACTGTTGTAACAGACTCCAACACTGTCTAACCTGTTCTGTCCACACAAGCGTGGCTGAGACCTGCCCTGTCATCCTGCCCTGTCCGCGCAGGCGTGGCTGAGACCTGTACATGTAGAACACAGATGGATAGACATAAAAAAATGCAGGTTTGAAACATGCAGTTGCAGACATTATATTGAAGGTGTTTTGAAATGTGAAAGTGGGCTTATACCTGAATGGTGGATGAAAGTCGACTGGTATGCAGGCCTGTTTTATTTTTAAATAAATAGGCAAGCTTGGTGAAGCACTGTGTAGGAGAGCTTCTAATTGCAGTTGCAGGCGACACTGTGACAGTCGGCTCGTGGCGTGGTGAACAGCCACATGGGAATCGGAGCAGCCAGAGTTCAGCGCAGGTCACCGCCAGCTCGTCCTGGGAGGGGTGAGGGTTGTGATATAGATTTCCGTGCTGTCCCAGAGGGATTGTCTGGGAGGAGGCATGGCTGTGTACAGTGCTCATCACAGGGTGTTGTGACAAGCCTGCGTTCGCTAAGGCGAGGAAGTGAAAGCAGCAGGCGTCTGGGGAGCCAAGATTTCTGTTCCTACAGCCTTGTTTCACACAGGATTGGAAATCCTGCTTCCTGACGCAGCACAGCCTGTAGGCGTGGAGGGTCTGGGTGTTTGTCTCCTCCCAAGTGACTCTGCATGTTTAACACTAGCAGGCAGCCCAGCCCGAGCTCTGGTGGGCCAGTGGGTCTGGCTCTTCTAGGTCTCCTGTGAGCTGCAGGAGTCAGGCTGTTAATAACTGAGATGCAGTGAAAGCCCGCAGACATGGCGCCCCCTTCAAGACCAGGGCTGCCGCCTCCTGAACTTGCTTGGTGGGTTCTGACCGTTGTCCCGGTGTCTGAGGCCAGGCCGCTGATCCGCAGTGGCAGACTGCAGTCCGGAGGTTTTGGATCAGTGCTCAGATGGGCTGGGCTGCCCTGTATCCTGGGAATCTCCCGCCTGTAGCCGAGCTCCACTCCTGCAGTCCTCCTCGGGCTGTGCTGGGGGCCAGGCGCTGCTTTGCTTCCATTTAGCTCCTAACCACCAGACAGGCTGGTGGGCTGAACGACTTACTCTCACCTGTTGGTCCCACAGCCGGGCTGTGTGCTGCACTGGCAGGCCTGACCCCTCTCACCTCTGTAATGAGGGCTTGTGTGTGAGTCTACAGCTCCTGTACACTCCTGGGCCTCGTGCTGCTGGGCACTGAGTGTGGTACTTCACTCCGATCAGCACCAGGCAGAGTGGGACCCACGCAGCCGGGAAGCAGTGAAGTTTGTATGATATCATATCAGACTGCTCGGCAGTGGAGTGACGTGATTACAGTGGTGCAGCGGCCACTGGCGTGTTCAGGAGAGTAAACATTCACAGCCCGGTCATCACTCTGTCACATTTCTAACTGTCACTGTGGAAAATCAAGCAGCACCAAAACAACTGGGAATAGTTCTGATAACAAAACACTTAAGGAACAATTTTTCTGTTGTTGGTTCTCTGCAGGCTAAAATCCTGTCTTCTCTGTGTCCTGGCACCTGTCCTGCTGTGGCAGGAGTCCTGTGTCTTGAGGAATCCCTGCCAGGGCTCTGAGTGGTCAGGCTGTCGGGCTGGGGCTGGTATAGGTCAGGACATGCAGCTCCTGCGCAGCTCCAGTGCAGCCCTTGTGCAACCCCTGCTGCTTGAGCTGCTGCTTCCTGAGAGTCCAGACAGCCCTGGCCTGGGCTTCATCAGCTGTTCTCTTGAATTCCTGTGCCTTCTTTTCTGTTTTGTCTGTTCAGTTTCTGCAATAGGCTGGCTGTTGGTAAAGCCTGGAATGGATCAAAGTGCTGTGCAGGAGTCTGATTGCCGTGTGGCAGCGATGAGATTTGAAACCGCTGATGCTCAGCAGCACCCCCTTCCTCCTGGGGTGAGCAGGGTGTCTGGATAATATTCAGCCACCTGTGCGTGGGTGTATAAACGTGCTTCCTCTCAGACTGCTCTG